GAAAAAGACTTTTAATACTCGTATTTAGTTCACAACTAATTATATTTTAATCGTTATCTTCATATTTTAATACAATTTAACTCTTTATACATATATTGAAAGCAGTTTTGTTTTAAATCAATAGCTATTTAGAGCACTGCAACCATTAATTATTATTATAAGTCTTTATTTCAAAATTACTTTTCAAACTAAAAAAGCTTATATTATATTAAAATTGTATTAATTCTACGAAAACTATTTAAACCTCAACAAAGTACTGTAGTAACAAAAACCCAATTATAATTTAATTTAAAAACAACAAAAATTTTATTATTCAATAAGAATTAAGCAAAATTAACTCGAGTTTTAATAATAACTAGTTTTGATAACTTTGAAAATTTATTCACAAAATAATTGCCGGTATATTTATTATTGTATTAATTATGTGAATGACTTTAAAAGTATTCCTATCAATCAATTACTATATTCCCACAATTAAATCAAAACCAAATGTTTGATACAATTTATGGTCAAAACCATCGAAATATTTATTGAATTATAAATGTGCGAAAAAACTGTCAAAAAAAGTTTGCGATAATTTCCAAACGTGTGATTAAAATGCAAATTAAAAAATCTCATATTTTGGGAAAAACCATGAAATTACTTAATTACTAACTTTTTACTGGCATTTATTTAATACAGTATTAAAAAACTAATTTTAAAACGCAAACAATTTCAAATTCATTTGTAATTCAAATTAATCTCTCATTAAAACAGCGAAAAATTTATTCAATTTTAGCACATAATTAAAAAGCATAAATAAATGCATTTTCTATTCATATGATTAATGATTTTGAAAATATGAGTAATTGTCGAGAGAAACGGTGTTTTAAAGCGAAACACAAAAGCGTTAAATAATCGTAAATATAGTTTCAAATCGATAGACGACCGCCTAATCAATGACCTCAACATTGGCCTCAATTCACAGTCACTTCTCATCATTTTTCTCACAATTAAATTCATTGCGAAACCAATCAATCGTTTCATACATCGAAAGCAAAACCTATTTTCAAAACTCAACACAACTATTGACACATAATTATAATGCAAACCAAAAGACTTATCATTAGTTTTCGCACACTTTATCACCACTGATACCACACAGACATGTCAAACACANTTATTTCTCTATATTATGATTACAATCTCAAAAACTTTTCTAAAACTTTTCCAAAAACTTATCGCAATTATATGATGATAATTATGGTAAATATCGAACTAATCCTATATTAAACTAATTTACTTAAAAATATAAGACTACAAGTGATTAGATACAGATACCAGTGCACCTATACCCCACACTCACAGCTCGCACATACACTCGACAATAGTTTCTCATAAGTGTTACACTTATTTACATAATTATAATTGAATTTTAAACTCGAATACATGTATAAAAAGGCTTTTTCTATCTTAAGTTGTAGTTTATTTTTAGTCTCAGATCAGTGAACACTAGAGAAACGAGTTTTTATCGTTAAAAAAGGCCTTTTTCTCTTTGAATCCTTGTTCCGTACGATTTGGTTGTGATATTGTATGCGTCGACAAACCGATCCACACATAAGTTCAGACATTTCTATAATGAAAGACAAAATCAATTCATGAATAAAACAACAAAAAACTCATTTTTTCTCTCCTATTCGCCGCGGAATTAGTGCATAAAATACTTGTCAATAGTTATGCGGTTTTGTATACACTGTTGGATAAGTCTCATCACTTTTTCATACTATTGTAAATCACAAGAATATAATGCGATAAAAACAGGACTTAAAAACTATAAATATGGGAAACAATTATAATCTAATCTACTATTTCCTTGCCGAAGTGCGATCGTAAATAATTTATACATTTTTCCCTATGAAAACTCTGTGGAGAAATACATTATGTATTTTAATACCCGGTATCAGACTTATATCGAGAGATTATCTATTGATTCAATCATATAAAACAAAACAGGTATGAAATACTCATGAATACATTAAATGGGATCAAATCTTGCCAGTATATAATAGTAAAAATAAAATGATTAATAGAGCTAGAAATCAAACTGTTATATAAATATGTGGCAATAAGTTATATCAGTATTAAAAATGAATAATAACTCAGATATTCATTCAAATGAATTAATTCTTTAATTAATGAAACCATTAATAATCCAAAGGATTTAATAAAAGCAAAAATAAAAATAATAACTTCTAATAAATCAATAAATCATTCAATCCTTTCTAATAGTTAATTAATAAAAAACCTAAAACTACACTAAATACTCATTTACAGCAAACATACAGTAAATGTCATACAAGTTAATAATATTTATAAACATTGGAGTTATAGCTAGTATTAAATTTCTACACACAAACTGATTCTTGTAATTAAAAACCTAATTAACATAATAAATAATAAAAGCATAATTAAAGCCAAAAAAAGTTAATACCAAAAATGTATAAAAACAAATTAAAAGCAAATGATATAAGATTATAATAAAAAATAAAAGTTATATTCAGTGAAAACAATGGCTATTAAAACTACCAAAAACTTCATACAAAACATGTATAGAGAAAAGTTTGTCCCTTTTTGAAAAAGACTTTTAATACTCGTATTTAGTTCACAACTAATTATATTTTAATCGTTATCTTCATATTTTAATACAATTTAACTCTTTATACATATATTGAAAGCAGTTTTGTTTTAAATCAATAGCTATTTAGAGCACTGCAACCATTAATTATTATTATAAGTCTTTATTTCAAAATTACTTTTCAAACTAAAAAAGCTTATATTATATTAAAATTGTATTAATTCTACGAAAACTATTTAAACCTCAACAAAGTACTGTAGTAACAAAAACCCAATTATAATTTAATTTAAAAACAACAAAAATTTTATTATTCAATAAGAATTAAGCAAAATTAACTCGAGTTTTAATAATAACTAGTTTTGATAACTTTGAAAATTTATTCACAAAATAATTGCCGGTATATTTATTATTGTATTAATTATGTGAATGACTTTAAAAGTATTCCTATCAATCAATTACTATATTCCCACAATTAAATCAAAACCAAATGTTTGATACAATTTATGGTCAAAACCATCGAAATATTTATTGAATTATAAATGTGCGAAAAAACTGTCAAAAAAAGTTTGCGATAATTTCCAAACGTGTGATTAAAATGCAAATTAAAAAATCTCATATTTTGGGAAAAACCATGAAATTACTTAATTACTAACTTTTTACTGGCATTTATTTAATACAGTATTAAAAAACTAATTTTAAAACGCAAACAATTTCAAATTCATTTGTAATTCAAATTAATCTCTCATTAAAACAGCGAAAAATTTATTCAATTTTAGCACATAATTAAAAAGCATAAATAAATGCATTTTCTATTCATATGATTAATGATTTTGAAAATATGAGTAATTGTCGAGAGAAACGGTGTTTTAAAGCGAAACACAAAAGCGTTAAATAATCGTAAATATAGTTTCAAATCGATAGACGACCGCCTAATCAATGACCTCAACATTGGCCTCAATTCACAGTCACTTCTCATCATTTTTCTCACAATTAAATTCATTGCGAAACCAATCAATCGTTTCATACATCGAAAGCAAAACCTATTTTCAAAACTCAACACAACTATTGACACATAATTATAATGCAAACCAAAAGACTTATCATTAGTTTTCGCACACTTTATCACCACTGATACCACACAGACATGTCAAACACAACTATAACACATACCGGCGCTGGTATTGCATCAGATTATCTCAGATAATAACATACCGTTTCGCTGTTGTCTAGTGAAGTGCCCGGCCTTACGACACATTTGTTGAAACACTTTTCGGTCATTTTCTGTACCAAACAAAACCATATCAAAACATTAATACCATTGCGATCACCGCACAGCAGATCCCAATACAAACTTTGAGCAACTCGTGAGCGTTGGCGACCGCTATTTGTTGCTTAACCGTATCCATGAGCTCCTCCTTCTGAGCGCCCGTCAGTTTACCGCCGGATCCGTCCATCACTGCCACCGATTTGTCACAAGATATCACTGATAACTAACTGTATCTACAAATGTAACCACAGATCAGTTTCTTGAGGCAAAACACAACACAAACACGCTTTTCAATGCAAA